GCTCAAAGATCCTCTCCTAAACTGTGCAAGTAGCATGTGTTCATATGATAACTCCTAGCCTGCTCAACACTAAGTTGATGGGTGTCAGGTCTCAAATTGTTATTGCTTCCTAGACTTATCAGTCAGCTGAACTGTGAAGGATGTGAAAATTGATAGCATTTCATTTATGTAAAATATTAAAAAATATGCAGACAAATACATGTTAAAATGCCATACAGTAAAACAAATAATAAATGCATTAGAAAAGCATTAATGCATAAATCAGAACTGATTCTTGGCCTTATATTTTTGTTTGTTGGTTCAGAATACATAAACATATCTCATATTCAATTAAATACTGAAATGCCAGCCTTTTCCTTACTGCCCAACCTCCCAGACGTTTCCAGTTTTGGTTGACCAAATCAATATCAGATGATCAGATGTAATTTTCTAATTACCTGGAGCAGGGAGGGGAAGATGACTCCCTGAAAATAGGTTGCCGCTCTGTGCACTGTGTTTGTAGCTGTGTTATACACTAAAATTAAGTCTAATTGGAAAACAAAAACAAAAATCTGACTCACTTCAAACAACAGCTGCAAAATATTGCCCTGAGGATGGAGGTTAACTCACTTGTGAAATAACGGCCAAAGCTCACACTCTTAATAACTGTTTTCTTTAGCCCTTGAGAAAACTCCATAATTTAATGCGAAATGCTTGGCAGAAAGAGCTTCAATTTAGAGACTGGCTCAGCAGGGAAGAAAAGAGTTGAAAACTCTCTTGTTACAAATGCACTTATATTTGCAACTTTATGTAATCTTCCCCCAAAAGTAAAAATTTTAAATGTTTGAGTTTGGTTCATAAATAATTGTGTATATATAAACATATACCGTATTTTTCGCTCCATAAGATGCACTTTTTTCCTCCAAAAAAGTAAGGGGAAATGTCTGTGCGTCTTATGAAGCGAATGCTGCGTGAAGGAGGGACGGACAGGAGCCCACGCTCCCATCCGTCCCTCCTCCATGGCTCACTTTAAAGTAGCAAAGTGGGAAAGGAGCCGCTTACACGGGTGTAAAGCAAGCACAGCAGGAGCTGTGTAATCCCTCCACCCCTGCGCTTGGCCGCCTCATTGGGATGGGCGCTCGCACTGCCCCCTTGGGATGACACTTGTGTGGGCATTCTTGTGTATATTCTACATACAAGGATGATAAAGCTCAAAAGACTAGCATATAAGATTCCTTTTAAACCAGAGGTAGTAAAATATGCTAAGGAGCATGGAAACAGAGCAGCGGAGAGACATTTTGGGCCACCTCCAACTGGAAAAAATGGTGAGAGTGGAGGAAACAGGAGGATCAGCTGCAAAAAGCAGATAAAAGTAAGCACACTTTTCATGGAAATGCTGCAAAGTGGCCACAGTTGGACGTGGCCATGAAAGAAACCACCGGAATAATGGCTTCTCAGTCTCTACAAAAATGATAATATATGAAGCCAAATGCACTACTGTAGAGAAAGGGATTCACAATTTTACTGGATCACCATCATGGTGCTACAGGTTTATGAGGTGATGTGGCCTTGCTATGCGCACCAAAACTAAAGTTGCACAAAAAATGAATATGAATATAAGATTCTGTCATTTCATAAATTTGTAATTGATGCTAGGAAAAGATATGGGTTTGAAATGGCCAGATTTGGAATATGGATTAAATCCTGCTAACCTTTGATGTGCCATTTAATAGGACTGTTGATCTGAAAGGTGCCAGAACTATCACCCTGAAAACTTCTAGACATGAGAAAACCCATTACACAGTTGTGTTGTTTTGCTGTGCAGACAGCACCAAATTGCCACCCATGTTAATTTTCAAAAGGAAAACCTTTCTAAAAGAAGTGATTCCAAGAGGAGTTGTTGTACATGTTCATGAGAAAGGATGGATGGACGAAAATGGAATGAGAGTATGGGTTGAAAAAGTATGGTCCAAATGTCCTGGAGGGCTTTTGAAAAAACCTGCCTTATTAGTACTTTACCAGTTTAGAGTACATATTAGCGAAACTACAAAAAAGTGCTTTAAAGAAGTGAAGACTCATCTAGCTGTAATTCCTGAAGGTCTTACCATCCAGTTGCAACCTCTAAATGTTTCCATCAACAAGCCATTTAAGGTATTTTTGCGAGAAGAGTGGAACAAATGGATGACTGCTGGTAATCATGATCTGACACCTACTGGACGAATGAAGAGGCCCACTATCACTCAAGTTTGTGAATGGGCATGGCACTCGGTGAAGGAGGAAATTGTTGTACAGTCATTCAAAAAATGTGGCATTAGCAATGCTTTGGATGGAAATGAAGATGGTATCTTATATGAAGATAGTGAAGAAAGTGATGTCAGTGATTGTGAGCAACTGAGCTTCATAAATTCTGACTCTAGCACTGATGAGTTCTTGGGGTTCACAGAAGGCTAAAAGAGAACTCGAACCTTAAAGTCTCTCTTCATTTGTTAATGACAGTGATGATGGTTCTTAATGCCTCTGTTGACTGCTGTTCACTTTACATGGTTGAAATATTTTTATATACCAGTAGTTTATTAAATAGTTTAGTACAACTTTTGATTCAGAATATTTTTTTTCTTGTTTTCCTCCTCTAAAAACTAGGTGTGTCTTATGGTCAGGTGCGTCTTATGGAGCAAAAAATACGGTAGATTAAGCAAGGAACAACATGCAGTAGCCAAACTATGTAAAGTTCAACAGAAATTTCTCCCATGTTGCATATGCATCTTTGATGATCCAACTATTAAAGCTCTTCCTATTCTTAATAAGAGTTTAGGTTCACTGGTTCATTTCAAGCAAAACATCTGAATTCTCTAATATACTCCTGTGCAATTGGCTGTTATTGCTGTTGCTTCATGTAAAACCATTGTGCAGCAATGATATTCAAAAGTATATAGCAAATTTTCACTTTTTTGATGATAATTAGAAATGGAAGCAAAAACCCCCATCTTTAAAGTACTGAAGAGATTGCTAACCAGATTCAAGCTGAGATTCACGTTTTGCCTGTACATTTTGTCTTTATTGGCAGGGTGCAGCCTATTTTCCTGTGCTACATTAAGGCTCAGCACACTGAACTCTCATCTGACCTACCCCCGGCATCATTTTTTGTAGTGCCATTTTAAATCTGCCAAAGTGTTTTACAGTCTTTTATCAACTTTTATCCAGTGTCTCATAGTACATTTTATATTTCATAGCCAAGTGATTTGTACAGTACATGTGTTTTTGTGGTGTCCCCCCCCCCAGAATTGAGTCTGTATTATCTGGTCATAGCCAATTCACATGATCTTGGACATAACGCTTGTTGGAGGTGGTGCATTGACATATCACCATGAGTTACCTGAGGCAAATTTATTATATCTGTTCCCTTGTGCACGCCATGGCAGCTAGTCTTCATCTTCCTTCCAGAGGGGTATGGTGTCTCGCCCTCCCCCAATCAGGAATTACTGCAAGGGCAGACTTTAGTCTTTCAAATTCCAGTGGTGCCCTATGCGAGGCCAAAATTTGGTGCCCATCCCGCCTCTCGCCTTCCAGTCCGCTCAATTCACACGTCATAGTTGCAATGCCCTGTGGTGCCCCCTAGGCTCGGAGCCCAGTGTGGTGGAACCAGTCGCACTGCTCTAAATCCGCCTCTGATTCTTGGCATCTGACAGCTAGTTTAGTACAGCCCTGGTATATTTGTATATGCACTGTACAATTCCTTGCACAATTAATTCATCATGAAAAGGGGGTGAGTGGCTCACACAAGCTGGGCCTGCACAATTTGCATTGGAAGGTTGCGTTGCCCGGGGTATGTGTGGGAGGAGTGAAGGATGTACAAGCCTCCGGGTCACCCTCTCGTACCCCACAGTGCGTGTAACCTGTGTCAGGGTCCTGCATGATTCAGTCCTTCCAAATTTGCCTTCGGATTAACTAATATATTTAGAATAAAACCTTAGAAGTTGGAATGTCTAATATTACTAATTACATTGGCAGGCTCATTTCGTGAAAAAGTTGTCCTCGTTGACATTTTCTTTTATCAAACTAGAAAGAGAAACCCAGGTGTTTCATTCACAACCACTCTCCTCCATACATAGGCCCAGGAGCGATTAAAGTGATGAATTGTGTCAGCATAACATATTGACACTATCAATTGGATGTTATCAAACAGCTTAAACTAATGGAATGATTTACTTCATGTTTAACTGCCTTTTTCAATTAAAGGTAGCAAATGCTGTGGGACTTGAGCCTAAGTGAACAAACCATATATTTTCTCCTGTTAACACCAGCATCGCTGACATGCAAGTGATGGGAGTGTTACCCTATTGCTGCAGGCTGTAATGGGCTAGTTTAAATGGTCATGAGGGAAAAAAAGTGATTAATGATTAGGAACAGGGCTGTTACACAGCTTCACAGCTCTTTTTCCTCCACGCATTTCCATTCGTGTCAACTAGCTGCACACTTGGGAGGTGTTATTTCCAAGTAGTCAACATAGTTTATTTCTGCTGCTATTTGTTTCCATTTCATGAGTCCCTTTGGTTGTGCAGCTATAGCTTACGTTTCTTTGGAGTCGTCAGCTTTGCTAATGATAAAAGTGGATTATGTACCACTCTTTATTAGCATGGAGAACAAAACCTCAACCATTGCACTTGAGTGTCATGGTAGACACAGGAGGATTCCTTCCTTTATTGCATGTTGACCCTGGGACAGTGGGATACATCTGGGAGGAGCTCCTGAAATTAGTTGGGTATTAAACTGTTGTCTTGCAATAACAATTATTGCTACGCATCAAGAAATTGCAGGTTCAGCATGTACCGCAATGCCCATTAGTGCTCTTTTGTTAATAAACTTCATATCTCTATCCTTCATTGGGCTGCTTCTAGACCTTTTAAAATTCTTTGAGGGTGCAAATAACGTGGTAGACCATGGTGATCTGACAGAGACCAATTACAGTTTCCAAAAAAGCTTCCAGCTAAATCCTTCACCAAAGACAAACAGTGAAACTTAACTAGGGTAAAAAATCAAGTCCTTTAATGGCTTGGTAACTAGTTACAGAACAAGAAGCAGAGCACTGGAGCAAATACACACTTTCCACAATGGAGAAAACATAGGAACCTGCTTCATCCCAAGTCAGAGCCTTCATCCAGTCTGTTTTGTGTATACAGAATGGCTGTAGTTTCAGGCATGAGTCTGCCCCAGTCCTACCTGGAGATACCAGGAATCACACTTGTGTCATTGTATATACAAAATGTGTGCCATACTGCTGAGCAACAGCAGTTCCTAAAAGCATCTGTATTAGGTCTCCTAAGTATTTTAGAATCAGTGCTATTGAAACCTAGAGGCAAAAAGGTGGCCACATTTTCAGATGTTATTTAAGGTGGTGGAAACTGAAGCAGAGAGCAAAGCTCTCCAAAAGATTTCTCTAAACTGAATGAATAGTCAACAGATGGGCAAATGAGATTCAGTGAAACTAAGTGCTATGTTATTCACATTTTTTTAAAAAAAGAAATCCTACAACTTCAATCCTGAAGTTAGCTCGATGTGCAAGAAAATGAAACCACCAGTTTGTATAAATCTGTGGCAGGGTCATATTTGGAACACTCAGTATGGTCATCCTAACTCAAAATAGAGCTAGAAAAGTGCAGAGAAGACTAGAAATACGATCTAGAAGTTGGAACATGCTCTCCATAAGTAAAAGACCAGGTCTTTGTGATCTGTATGGGAGGTCCTTCTTCTGGTTCTGCAAATGGGTGTGGCCCCTCCTGCAGTGACTCAAGTTAGGGTCTTCTCTGTGGTGTCATCTTGTTTGTGGAACTCCCTCTTCGGAGTTGCATCAGTCAGTCTTTCTTCATCAGGTCAAGACATACCTGTTCATTCAGGCCTTTGTGATCCTGTTTGAATAAAGTAAATCATTTGTGACTTTTTAGTTTAGACAAAAGATAACAAAGTGAACATGATACAGGTATAAAAACAGATGAGTGGTGTGGGAAAAGTAGATGGGGAGAAATTTCAGTACCAAGGGAAGGTATTCTAATTAAATTAATTGGTAGTAGATTCAGCCCAAATGCAACCACACATAAAACCCCTTGACAGAATGTATTATTTATTTGTGGAATTCACTGCTGCAAGATGTGATGGTGACCCTTGGGAGCAAACAAAGGAGAGATGTTGCTTGTGTGCCACACTTTAGGGATTCCCTGAAATATTTGGCTGGTCCCTATTGCAAACGAGGCTGTGGTTGATGGGTACTTGATCTGATGTCGCAGGGCTCTTTTTATGTGGTACAAAAGGGACATTGTGTAGGAATTTTCCAATATTTTCATCAAGTTTTTTACTATCTCTGTGTTCATAAGACATAAGGGAGGGAAACAGTGTCGCCATGATGTCATAATCCATGTAATGTACTTTGAGAGGAAGGGTGTTGCTGCCTAAAAAAACACATTCACTTTTCCCTTCTAAAGCTAGGTGAAATCGGATGCTGGAGGCTATTTGGGTTAGAAAATACGCCTGACAGATGAAGTAGTCTATTCTTGTGACCACAGTATTGAATTTGCTCTTTTGAAGTATTGTACAGCAATGCTCTTGTTTGCTCAGTGTGCTTCCCTGTAGTGGGGGCTAGAAATATTATTGTGCAACTCTAGGCACATCATTTAAAACAGTGGCTTTCCATTGTTCCAGATGTGGGCCCCTTGCTTTACCCTCAGTCTACAGCATGCGGTTCAGTTAATTTGTTTAATACCTTATCTTCGGTTGCTTTTTTTTTTTTTTACTAAGTTACATTCGTCAGATGTGTGACAACCCACCCCCCATTTTCATTTTTACAACCCCACACAGGCAGCAGAACTAGAAGATTACAGAGTGGCTTGGGCAACCCAGCCAGATGTGCAGGCTATAAAAAAATAAAATTCTTATTCTTATTCTTATTAGTAGTAGTTGTAGTAAACCTAGACACATAGCTAGCAGACTCCATTTACTTTACTATGTTACTAGTTGTTCAAGGCCTGATCTGGAGTGCTCCTCTCGTTCTCTTTCTTCAGCCATACATAGGCTACATGTTATATCAACCTCAAACTTTTTAAATGGCCATGCCTGAGTTTCAGCCAAAGATCCTTGGAACTGTAGTTGAATGAAAAGACTCTTAATCTCTTTCAAACTCAGACCTGCCGAAAACTACAATTTCCTGGGAATTTTCTTGATAGCTACAGTGGTTTTAAATCACTTTACACAAATAGTGTGTTCCCTGCTCCCCCTTGCAGTGCTGACAGTACTTGTGTGGCCCAACCTAGGTCAGGTGTTTACCTGGCTGGCTACGCCATGCCAGCACCAGCTGAAGACCAAGGGTTAACATTTGCAGCTATGATATCATTATGTACTTGGTTCACATATGCTGTTTCTGCTACTTTATTGTTTGAGGTCTTTCCCCCTGCTAACATAATGCATTTAACAATGAAGTGAATCCTATCTCTTGTTTAGACCAAATATAGTAGTAGTAGTAGTAGTAGTAGTAATAATAATAATAATAATAATAATAATAATAATAATAATAATTTATTTATACGCCACCCATCTGGCTGGGTCCCCCCAGCCACTCTGGGTGGTTTCCAACAAAACATTAAAATACAATAACCTATTAAACATTAAAAGCTTCCCTAAACAGGGCTGCCTTGGATTTGAATATGGATTTGAAGTTGGAGAAAGAATCAAGGAATTTATTTTAGATGTCCAAATGCTATCACACAATTAAGCTCAACATTTCATTTAGTTTTCCATGTAGTTCCCCCCTCTTTACATATACCCCCCCCCCAGTCTTGAAGTAGGAAAATTTTGTTTGGCTAATGTTGTAAAGTCGTGTGTGTGTTCTACTACAGACATAAGATTGGGCAGGCAAAATATATGAGGAAACACCCCTCCCATCAGACATTATGATAATCATGCATTCTTCTACAGTCTACTGCCATGAAGTCAAAGTGTAATGTGTGAAACTTCAACTGTTAGTGAAACAACACATTTTGCTGGAAGGTTGTTGACAATCTGTAGGTAATAGGCCTTTCTGAGATGTGGTACACCAAAATCACGATGTATTGCTTCCCCTTAATCTCCCCACACTACATTATCTTATTTACAAATAATATTTTTGCTTAGAGCCGTTAGTATTTTAACAATCAGGTTTGTTTCTGCCCAAGTTGAGAGTTTTGTAGATGTTGGGACATCCTTAATTCTAGTCAACACAGGGATTTGTATTTCTGTTTGGGGAAGCACTTGCATTTCTTAACTTTGTGAGCCTTGCTTTAAAGTTTAGCTATTACATTTATTTTTATTTTTTAATTTCCTAAGCCAAGCTCAGTTTTGCCTACAATATTCTACCCGCGGTGGCTTAAAGAAAAACCATTTTTCGTAGGCAGCAGCCTTCTTCGCGCACCTGATAAAGTGGGCTATAGTCCATGAAAGCTTATACCACAATAAAACCATTAGCCTTTAATGTGCCACAGGATTCTTTGTTGGTTTTGCTACAACAGACTAGCACGTCCACTCTGCCAGAAATCATTGAACACATGTCTTAATTGAGTTCTCTGTGGAAGTCCACCCCCTCCCTTTAAAGATACTGCTTCTAAGCCATGAGGTAAACTCTTTCTCAACACATCAGTGTGGCACTTTTTTGTAGTTTTTCAAGAAGTCTTCAGCTCATGAGCAGGTTTCAAAGGAACCTCATCTCCATGTAGTTTTGCCGGATAATCCTTTATCCACCATCTTCAGCTCTCATTCCCTTGATTTCTTGCCTGTGGCTACGTTTCTATCTCTGCATCAATTAGCCCAGTGATTTATACAACAAGCAAGCAGTTTAGAGGTAAATGGTACACAATTAACATCTCATTCCACCATAAAGGGTATGCTAAATACCCCAGTCACTGCTTTCTCTGCCTGGAATTGAAATAAGTGTTTGTCCTAATTCATATGCTATCTGATGTGAAGTGGGCCTGCTTTGTGCTGTACTACACCATTAATCTAATTATAGATAGCTGCAAATGAAGTGCTGTCTGAGCACAGAGGCTGAAGAAAAATAGAGCTTTTGTCATTTAGCATGACTCTGTGAAGCAAGATCACACTTTGCATGGCAGCCTGGCAAAGTGGAGATCCAAATAATATTGCGGCCTGTTGCATGCGTTCTAATTACGAGAGCCTTGTAAACAGAAGTAGACGCCCGGTGTAAATAGAGCTGTAGTTACGCTGTCATGTGGTTTATAGGAGGAAAATCCTCCGAGTGCGGTTGTATTAAATGATGCATCCTGATTGACAGCTACCTTGAGACTGCGCTGATGGAGTTGTCAAAGCATTATGCTAACAGGCTGCTCCAGTGACTGCAGATGTACAGAGCTCTGCTATTCAGACAGCTGTCTAACTGTTATCTGTTCATTTTACCTTGTCCGGCTGTGTTGTAACTCCACACAAGGAGTACAGCTACAAGCTTTATTTCTGTATGCTTTTGACTCTGACTGCTCAACCTTAACCTAAAGTGGAAGGAATCTGTTTTGTGAGGCTTTAATCTTTATTGGGGAGTTTTTCCCCACTAGAGTGTTATATATTACATGGTGGATTTAAAGGTGGGAAGTGTGAGCAACATTAATTGCTATTTTAATTAAGTTTGTGTTGCTAGGACCTGTACTAGAGAAGTGGTGACATTCTCCTTTCTATCCCTCATCCATTAAATATTCAATTTTTAGGAATCCCTTTTGTATTGCCACAGGGTGTGGTTTTTTTTATTACATAAGGGATTTGTTTCTCCCACTTAAACCACGGATTATTGTGGCACAACTGCACTACAACTCATTTGTCTACCAGAGACATGCTAATAATGTAGGAACTGGGAACTCCATTATAAAAGTCAAATTCTAATTTGTTGACTAAGCAGTACATTTTTAAAACTGCCATGATCATAGAAATTTCCCCCAAAAAACCGTTTCCAGAGTCCATAATGCTGAGGGATGGGAGACAATTGACTGTTTTTAACCCAATATATGAGGAGAACTTTGATGTATAAAGAGATCTCATGCTCTATGAGAATTTAAACTTTAGACATAAGCAAACACCCTTATTAAAGATGCACTTATTAAGTTGCACTGAATTTAGAGGAACTTCTGAGTAACGATGTTGAAGATTACAGAGTTAATGCACTAATTTCAGTGCCCAGGTGGCAGCGAACCAATATATTTATAATGCCTATGAGTATTTTGAGCCAGTAAGAATGGGTGTCACTTGGAATGACACCCTGGAATGACACTTCCTGAAAGTTTTGAATTGGAATTTTTCCCCTTTGCAAATTAGGATCCTTTGCATAGGGATAATTTTCAGTTTTCACCTAGAGCAGGGGTAGCTAACATGGTGCCATTCAGGTTTTCCTGGACTCCTCTCCCATCAGCCCCAGCTAGCATAGCCATCAGGAGAGCACCATGTTGTTTGCTTCTGCCCAAGTGAATGATCTAATTTGTAATGCTTCTTTTGCATGTTGTTAGTAAACAAAACAAAAAAACTTTGAGACTGCCATGCTTGCTTTAATGTACTTGCAATTGCCATCCATTCATTGTTACTTAAAGAACTTATGAAACAGAAAAATAAATAAATCTATGGATCCACAAAAGATCTTCCACTTTATACTGCAAGATGAATGCAACCTGGGACTTTAAACACTGACCACTCAAAAAAACTTGTTTTTAAAACATTAAAAAATTATCAAGGTATCTTTGGACTTACATTGCTTAAAGTTAAACAGTTGTCACACAAAGAATCTTGTTTCACATTAAAAACATTGTGGGCTAACATATTCATTGTTGCATAACACTTTATGGACTAGATACATTTATTGTTATCCTCGGGTCGCAGATAAAGGAATTTCAAAAAGAGACGCAAGCCTGGAGCAGTTGCATCGGAACTAATAAAGAAGTTGAATCTCTTGAAGACTCTTGCCCATGAAAGATTATGCTACAATGAAATACGTTAGGCCTGTATCCAACAAAGCCATTGCACAGGTGGAACAACATCTGCTCATGCAACAGAATGACCCCTTCCATCTCTTCCTCTTGCACCTCCAAATCTGTTCTGAAGGTTTCCCCAGCCTTCCAGAACAGACTGGGGAGTCACAGATCATGCCACATGTACAATCACTTCATTGGATTCAGCCCTTATGCCAGGCATAGGCAAACTCAGCCCTCCAGCTGTTTTGGGACTACAACTCCCATCATCCCTGACCACCGGTCCTGTTACCTAGGGATGATGGGAGTTGTAGTCCCAAAACATCTGGAGGGCTGAGTTTGCCTATGCCTCCCTTATGCTAACCCTAATCCCAACCCTTAGTCTTAATGTGCTAGCTGACTTTTAAAAATTATTCTTATTTTTAGTGCAACAGACTAATACAACTACCCCAAGAAGCATAGACAATAGTTTTAGCAGGAAGCTGCTAAAACTACTGTCTATGGTCTTATGCATATAATGTATAATTGTGATATAGAGCTGATAGTTTTCTTGCAAAAGGTGACTGGTATAGTCCCTGGCACCCAAAGTTGGGCTGGAAAATATTTTTGTTTAAAACCTTGGGGATCTGCGAGTCTCAGATCCAATTTTTTTTTATCAAGTAGATTGTGATTGGCAAATTTGGCCTCTGCAATAATATAGGATGTGCCTCATTTAAGGTTTTGAGAGGTAGTCTGCTTTTGGCAGACCTTACTGGTCTTGCCTTCTGCAATTGCTTTGATAGCTCAGCTGGTTAGAGCGTGGTGCTGATCACAGCGAGGTTGCAGGTTCACTCCCCATATTCCTGCATTGCAAGGGGGCTGGACTAGATGATCCTCAGGGTCCTTTCTAACGCTGTGATGCCTTACACAGCCACTCACCTTCACAAAGAAAAAAGCCTCCATTTTATTTATGTAAAGCTTTGTCACTTTCCAGTTATAGTAAAAATGGAATGATGGCAATTTGGTGATATTTGTAAGCTTCCCGTCATCTTTGTTTCGGAGCCAGGCCTTGTTCAGTTGTTTTGGTCTTCCAAAGTGCTTTATGCTTCTCATCAAACCAGTCCACATGTTAACATCCTTGGTGTGTGTTCTGCAGCTCACAGGCACCCCTTGGTCAGGCTGTTTCTCAACGTTGAGAAACTATTTTACAAAGGAATGTTTTTTGGAGGGGGGAATCTTCCATCAGAACTTATAAAAAGGGATCCCTTTTCTGTATTACTTTGCCATCCTATGTTCACAGGGGTCATTTGTTCTCAACTGTGCTCCCAAAGGACCTTTCCGGAGAAGTTTGCTTCTTCTTTTTTTAACTTTTTGATTACAATAGCTCAGTTCTCTCCCCCCCTCCAAACAGACTAAAGAACAATAAACAAATACAAAAGGAAAGGGAACAGCTCATCAATAACAAAGGCCTGCATTTGAAAGCACTTGGCTTACTGACTCTCACATCTCATTCCAAGCAAAGCAGGAGTCCTGCGGAGAAAGGAATCTAGAAGATAGGAAAATATGAAAATAGTAAAAGTGGAATGCTTGGAACGGCCTGTGATGGGTGAAGAAAGCTTTTCTTGCACAACAATTGGAACAGTTTACTCGCTAATACTACTTCTACCTGTAGAGCCTCCTCTTGATTGTAGATTAATTTGGAAAACTTGAACTATTCACGGGGCCACAAGCTTGACTGTTTTGAAAAGACATGAAATTGGATTCTGAACCTGGGCAATGTAAAAACATAAATCTCTCTTAATCTAAGCAGAAGCTAATTGTACCATTCACAACACATAGCCAAAAAAAAAAAGGGAATATCGTCAATCTGAAGAAGGACCGTTATTTATTTCCTCCTAAGATTCAAGTTTTTATTTAATTTTATTTTCAAAAGTATGTGTAGAAGGTATTTGCTATGAATACTGAAACTGTGCAATTTGATGTAATTATATTCCCCCATAGTTTTAATTAAGGACTTTTAACTACAATTTATCTTTTGATAAATAGACCCTCTGCACAGAATGTTTATTAGATTGACAGCAGAATGTATACCCAGATAGCTTTTTCTGCCTTGCCATGTGACTCAGATGAATTTTAATAGGAGCAAAAGCTTTTATTTGCCCTGTAATTTCACTGAAGGATCATATCCTTTAAAAACCAGCAGACACTTGTACGTCTTGATGGCAGAACACACAGACAAGAGCAAAGAAACATGCAAAGATGTTGCTATTTGGCCTGTCACTGGTTATAGCAATTCTTCTGGCAACATTTGCCATCAAAACACATCAAAATCCTTAGTTGCAAACATATAACAAGGCTGTTTTCTTTTTTTTCCTGAAAGAAAGATTCCAGAGTGTAGCCATTTGGGCCATTTATAATAGGAACCCAATAACCCTTCTTTTTGAAAAAAAGAAAAGAAAACGTAAACCACAGTTTACAGAACAATGTCTGTTGTGAGCCTGAAGATGGAAATAGTTAAAATACCATTGGAAAACAATATGGTGGGCTACTTGAGCCGAATTTTGATAGCAATCTAAGTAGTTCAGGCCCCATTGGTTTTCAGTAGTACTGCACACACCCCAAATAGATTTCTGGGGGCTAAGGTGTTTATTGTAGGATCCTCATGCATGCAAGTTTTTTTGCAGCATCAACACAACATTGTAGTCTTCGAAATCCCCACCCATATCCCCATCACAACCTTATCTGCATTTACCCTTTCCAAGGAAAACCCAACCAGCTTTAAAAAAAGAAAAGAAAGGTTGCTGCTTACATTAAGCTCCCATCTGGAAGCACCCTAGCTGTCCGCCTTGGGCGATCCTAGTGTACAACTTTTTTCAAAGCTACCTTGGGGCAGGAAAGGAGGAATCACTGCACTAATTCTAAACTAGCCCAACCACTAGTTGTTTGGTTTGCTGTGTGGAGGGGGTGAGCGAAATGTTTCTTTCCCTGCAAGTCGGTGATCATTTGACAACGTTCAAACAGTGTTAATAAATTTTCATGCAGGCTCGAGCAGTGACCATCTCCTCTTCCAAATGACAGCAATCGTATATGAGGAAAGCACATATTGACACTTCATTATGATGTATGATGTGGTATCAGTAAACTCTGTTGGAAAGGCTTTGTCCATTTCTTTGGATCATCATCGTCGTCATCATAATTTATTATTTATACCCCGTCCATCTGGCTGGGTTTCCCCAGCCACTCTGGGCAGCTCCCAACAAAATATTAAAAACACGATAAAACATCAGACCCAACGTGCTTGCAGCCTCCTGGTTGCTCAGCTTAGTGTATTCACATATTATTTCTGTGTAAAGCTATTGTTGCTTGGCTTTATACCCAGAAGAACCTATACTAGGGGTGTCCAACCTTTTTTCAAAGAGGGCCAGGTTTGATGAAGTGAACGTGTGTGAGGGCCGACCAAAGTTGTTGCCCTTTTAGGATTGAAGTTGCTGAGCTCCCCCCCGGATTTTACCCCAGGAAATAACCTGCCACAGGGGCCGGATTAGGCCCCCGAAATGGACTTTGGACACGCCTGGCCTTAACTATGGGGTGTATAACAACATTGCACTATTACAAATGTTCCATCTGCACAACCACACTACCTTGCCAGATGGAATGTTCTCTCCTCCCTTCCCCTGCATGCCATGGGGTGGGGGGGTGGGGGGTGTTGTCTCCTGACCCACAGAGGAAATTTGGGGAGAACAAAGGCAGGGGAGGAGGAAAAGCTCCGTTGCACAAGTGAAAGTCCTTGTGCAGGGCTTCCGCTGATGGGATTTGTTAGGTGTATCTTGTCCTACATTCTCTGTAAGCTGTATTTTCTGGATTGGTTCTAGAGCCTTGCAGCCCCGGGTGTTAACTTTTTCTCTCCTTGTGAATGCAATATATAGCCTTGATCAGATTAGAAAAGCAATGTATCATTGATTTAGGAATTCGCTAAAATGAACAGGTACCAATTGAGAGCATGGATCTATAGCTACCATTTAATTTAAGTAGGTCTGATTCCAGGCAAGTTCCTGGTTGATTGTGTTCAAAATGGCTAAGATACTTGACCTCTCATTATTAACTCCCATTTACCTTCACACTGGATATTCTAATATTTAGGCAATCAAAAAGTGAATGAGACTTCAGTCCATTCGGTTGAAGAACAATAACTTGGTGGTTGTTTTTTAACTAAACTCTTCAGAACCCCTGTGGTCTGTATTGAGTAAATTGGGAAAAAGATGGACATGTTGTCTTAAAGATGGTTTGCCCCTTTCCCCTCTTGTATCATAGAATTATAGAGTTGGAAAGTACCCCAAGGGTCATCTAGTCCAGCTCCCTGCAACGCAGGAAGCGCAACTTGTACTTGATGATTGTGCAGCTTCTAGGGTGTACTGTGTATACACTGCTAGGCTTTAGTGTTTAGTATTTGAAAGAGGCAGTATCTTAAAAGTCGGGCAGAAAAATGCACATGATAGTTACACATATTGAAATACTTACACATGTACAAAAAGTCAGTTTGATTTGCTTTGATCATGTGCGCTAAAGCCCATCCCAGAACCATCGCCAGCGTGCAGGAATTCCACAGCAGATGGATCAGTGTAGAAAACTCCCTGAAGATCCTATGTTTAAACTACACTGCCATAGGTTACCAAAGCTGGTAACATTATTTGACAGTATTTGCACGATAAGCTGCAAAGTGCTAAGAATTCTGCTTTAATAGTGAAAGTTCAATTTTTAAAAGATCCAAAAGCTGACATACTGCTGCTGGCTGATCTCGATGCAAATTAGATTATCATAAGTGCAATTCTAACTGTAACATTTATTATCAACACAGCTGGTTAAACTAGTGATAGGAGCATGTTTGTTCCTCTTTTGTCCATTGATGGTCAAAGAGGAACAAATTTCTCACAGAGACCTGCTGCCATCTGCTGGATTCCCGAGTGCAGTGTCTCTGCTCTTGGGTAAGCCTTATGCCGTACCAAAGAAAACTGATGTGGCTGCAGAGCATGAACAATATTTTCTGATTAAAACAAAACCAAAGAAACCTGATGTGAAAAACCTTTTGTTGATATGCTGAGTAAAATAGCGTCTAAAAGCTAATAATAATTTTAATCACCCCCCTCCACTTTGAAAATAGTGTTTTGCTGGTAGTTTGGGGGTAAATTAGCATAAAAACCCCAGAAACAAACAACTTCGCAAATTACACTGGATTCCACCCGCCCCCCCGACTGTTACTTATTCAAGATAGTGTCTACTTTTGCTATTTTTCGGTGCTTCTTTTTAAAATGGAAGCTTGGATTCTCAGAATCCTGCGGACTTCATAGAAAAAAAGCTGGACTGTAAAGTGGGGGAGGGGGACTGTGTGGCCCTTCTGTTGTTGTTGCCACTCGTGTGTAGAGAAAGATCAAACCCATAATTCATTGTGTTTAATGTTTTCAAGTGCGGCTATTTACCTGGTTGAGTTTTGTTCTCTTACTGCGGTATTTATTTGGAATTGATTCCATCAATTTATCCCCACGTTTTACATCGCTATAGTTTCAAAGCATGATAGGCAGCAGGTGGATTGATTTGTTTCCAAGCCGCTTTCAAAAAGTCAGCCACAATGTGTATAACTGGTGTTATTGAAATCTCACATCCATTTTAGATAGTAAGTTATGCATTGTAGAGGGAGAAGGGAAGGGTGTGGGCAGGTAGAGAAATTACAAAATATTTCCAGTTGGTGAACATCTGTAAAAATATAGTTTGCGATGTGCCAATTCAAGGTTGCAAACAAATGCTGGATTGTACTTCATAAGATCTTTAATAAAATATAAATATTAAAGCATGAGGATTTAAACATAGTGTTCTCCTGTTAGATGTGTAAGCCTTATTTTTCACAGCAGTGCTTTCAACTGATTTTTTAAAAAACAAAATAGGTTAATTTCCTCCACACATAATGTTTTCAATACATAGTAAAAAGAAAGTCCTGTCCATTTCCAAACCACATATACAGCATATGCTAGATAGAAACATGTCCCTATAAACGACTATATATATTTTGTACCTCTTTGATTAGTTAATAAATTTACGGTTTTACACTTGTTTGATACTACCTTGTGAACAGCCCTGATATCTTTTGATGAAGGGTGGTATATAAGTCTAATAAATAAAATAAAATAAAAATGATTTGCTTTTGTGGCATTTATCTTCATTCTGTTCTCTCCTGCCCCAAGTACAAGTTACGTATTCTGACCAAGCTTGCTGCGGAGCTCAGCAAACACATGCCAGAGAAAGTGGTAGAGGATACCTCCAGCATCCTGAGATCGCCCATGCCTGGAGCAGTGGTGGCAGTTTCCGTAAAGCCTGGAGACATGGTAAGATCATTCCTTGCCCTTTGTATCTGTTCCAGTTAAGAATATTCCTCACTGGAGAATCAGGGACAATTTGCACACTTCTTTTTTGGTCTTGCCTGAAGATGTTTCGGTATGTGCACTTGTGAATGTGGCAAGTACATGTTTACAAACATGAGTATCCTACATCTATACTCGTACGGGAGCCACGCTGGTTTTGGTTTCCTGTCATGCGGCTACTCGTTTGCAAACTTAGCTTGCTGCAATGTAATATATCAAGTTTCCCACGCTCTGGTTACTCTTGAAAAAACAGGTCAACTTACTTTAAGGATACTGCTGTATATAGGGAATGTGCATGGAACTTATTTTGGATGTGGGGGAACTCAGCTGAAATCACTACAGGGATATTGTCCTAGATATTGACAAGAAAAAAAAATTACATTCATCATGATAAACACTTAATTTTTTTCTGTCTGACTTGACTCCGAGCCTTTCAGTTGCTAGCTGCTGCTAGTCTTAATAAAAACACATGCATCTTCTTGACTTTAACTTTAATATTATGCTATAATTTTATGTTAGCACAAGAAAGGTCATCTTTAATTATTCATTCAGTTTTATAGACATACACCAGAACCAATAGAGTTGAAATAAAAATGAAGGTGTGCTTCTTAATTCTCAGTTGCACTGATTACAGTTGGCCCCTGCTTGCGTAATCAGTGAAGTAAAAATTGGAGCCTTAATATTTACATCTATTGGCAGAAAGAGTAAGTAAAGTTGCTAGAGAAAGACTGGAGAAAGGTGCGTTGAGGTAGGTGTGTATAATACTTGTCAGATGATGGATCTGTTTCTTAATATGCCTTAATATCCAAAGGATCGATATGAGACCTATGAACTGAGAGATGACTTTATATGCTCTATGCATCATGGATGTCATGCTTAATATTATCTTTCTAATTTAATATTCTATTTCCATAGTCCATGTTTTTGCTGTGTTTTAAGAAAAACTACTTTGTGTCTGTGTGCATACATACGTACATATTTATGTATGCATTTAGAAAACACGGACAGTTCTTTTTGAGCTATTAAAAAATGGGATAATTTATGAATAGATAATGCTGTATAGCATTGAACTAATTCCGATTCTCCAAAAATGTAGCCAGTAAACTACCTTGGCCTCTTTTTGAGATGTACTCTCTGCTGTAGTTTTTTTAAAAAAATTAAAAAAGAGAAAAGGTTCCACTGGGAGGCCATTTTAAACATATTTTACATGTAAACAGAAGACGAAGCTGAGCTTACTAAAAGGAAGCAAACAAAAATTGCACTCAAGACTGGAAAATGTTTAGCTTGAAATTGCAAACTCATCAACATTGTTAAGTGTTAGAAAAACTACTTCTGAAAGGGGGGAGGACAGGATTTTTTACTCATGAGCTTAGCTGAGTGAGTCATCTGTGAAACATTATGCCTGTTTAAATCTTTAGATGCCCTTTCTCATGCTATGTGGAAGAGTTTTATAAGAAGTGTCAAATCAAACAACATAGTCAATCACATACAACGACCAGGTATGGTCACTGACAATTCCTGATTTTCAGATCGACTGAGTGGCAGGTTAGAAAACTGTCTGCTTACTGCCATTTTCTTCTTGTCACAAGGAGTGTGAATTCTGTCATTCCTCCGTGCAGTACAATGGAAAAGAGTGACGCTGTGTGTGTGTTTGCGTGTGGTGGCAGGATATTTTTCAGGACAAAATCTCCCATCCATTTTTATCCAAAATGCCTTGTTCTGCTGACATTAAAGTGAATCAGGGGAAAATAGGATGCTATGAAGTATCCTTTTATGTATCTGTCTTGTGTATATTTTGTGTACATGAAGAAGCAAAACCATGAGAGGATGGGCCTCCAGCCAGGAAATTGAAATGGGGAAAACATTCTTCCCATACAATCAAACATTCCCAAAGAAGTGCGGTGCAATACCAAACAAGTTGTTAAATAATGAGGAGAGATTTCTTTCTTGCTTCTCCCTCCCCTTTCCCTGCCGCCCCTTCTCCCTGCCTGTGGGTTTTTGCTGGAGGCGCCGAGAGGCAGAGCATTTGAACAGCACAGGCCTTATGTTCTGCCGACTTGGACTTGTCAATGGTAATTGGGCAGCTTTAATTGCAAAAACACGTTTGTGGCGCTGAAAGGGAGTTTAGCGTAAATCCTTCCTTTCCAGGACTGGTGTCAAAAAGTTTTTTTGAAAGGAGATGAGGTTGTATCAGCTATCCAGACTGAATAAGCGGCGAGATGGCGCGATTCAGCTTACATGTTTTGGCTGTCCATCAGGACAAGGATCATTCATTGTAGCTGTTCAAAGCCTCGGAGAACAACGGATGGGAACTCTTATATACTAGTCTTTTTTGTTCCACTGTTTGAATGTGTCCTGAATTTGTGTTTCCCCCCCTCTACTTTTCAGACAGACTAAGGAGTACTTAAGTACCCTTTTTATATTCTAGAGTATTTACCAGCTAATAATATAATGAGGCGTGAAACAATATTACTGGGAAATGACAAAAAAAGTTTTCAGCTGAATGTTATACTAAAACTAATGAGTAGCTCTTCCATAAATTTTCTGTTTGTGACCATTGGGAAATGTTATTTCATGGTAATATTTTGGGAGTTAGCGCATTACTATAGAGTGTCTTACAAGGAGGCTTGTTTTCCAAAATGCACTAAAATAATGAAACACTGCCATTATAAGATGCAGAGGTTGAGTAGTCATTTTTGCTTGAATCCATCCAGGTTTTTAGGCCGTTGGGAAGTATAGTGTGCTTGCATTTGCTTTCTGATGGCTTGCATTTTTTTATTGCCTTTTGTGGTGTTGGTCTGAAATGTGTGTGAGAATTGTTCTTTATTTTGCCAAATTCTGTGTATATGCTTTTGTTATTATTTTCTTTATTTTTCCAAGTTCCATTAAAAATTGCTTGCTTAGCAACAATGAAAAAGCTTCCAAAGACGGGTCAATTGTGATGAACTTCACAGCTCAGCCCTTTTGGGGAGAGGGTTCTTCAAGTTTATTTCTGAGAAGAAATTTGGGGGCCATACATGGGGGCCACAAACTAACATGAGAAATTTGTTTATTTGAAGGACCATAATTCTGCCCAAAATTATACATGGGTAAGTCTTATTGAGATCATTTCAACTTAGGTACCCATAGTTTACAGAGAGCATGTAGACATTACATACATTTTACTGAAAAAAGTGGAATTTACTGCCGCATAAAGATTGGGATCAATAAAGCTACTTTGGGTGCACTCAGAAGAACGTTTAAATTTCGCTCCCTTCACACATGAATCAGGAGGCATTATGTGATTACCAAAGAGTGAGACCACATTGCTGACTCTGCCCCTTGCCATCCCCACATCTATTTATTTCATTTTTATTTTTCCATTGAATTTGTATGCCACTTTTTAGGGCAGTTCACAACATATTCATACATTCACATGGACTATCTACAGCAGGGATGGGCAATATGTGGGCCTCCAGTTGCTGCTGGATTGTAAATTTCATTATCCCTGACCATTGGTCATGTTGGCTGTGGCTAGTGGGATTTGTAGTACAACAATACCCAGAGGTCACATGCTTCTGAACTGCTCTCCCCAGGGAGGTTTGGCTGGTACCTTCATTATACACCTTGAGGTGCCAGGCGAAAACATTTCTCTTCAACCAGGCCTTGGGCTGATTGACATGCAGTGCCCTCTTAAATGTGTTGTTGGAGGGGGGGGGACTTATTGGTTTGTTGTTGTTCTTATTTTTACTATGTTTTTTGTGGTTTTTGCATTGTGATTTTATGTTGTGAACTGCCCTGAGATCTGTGGGTGAAGGGCGTTATACAGATTTAATAAAATGAATGAATGAATGAGCAGCTGCTGGAGAATAGGCTTCTTCACTGAAGTTATGGAAATGATGGGTGACTAAGCAGCATGGACACAATTCCAGGAGTCACAGGATGTCCTCTTCTGGTGTCACCTCAATGCTGCCCCCCAACCCCACTGAATTTCAAAGTTTTTCAACCTCCCCTTCCAATATGGTTTGCAAAAAAAATTCAAAAGATTCCTTGATACCTAGTTCTTTGAATCCTGGCTATTGCATTTAGGATTGTGGTGTCGGAATAAATTTATAAACTTCATTACTATTTCAGAGCAGCGGGATACAATATTACAGCCATATTCAGTAAAAGCTTATGGCAAGGTGCGTCTGCACTGGGCTTCCCCCGACCTTGAGGCCTTCCCTCTTCATTGCAGGTGGCTTTGAAAATATTCTCGAGTTTCAAAAGCTGCTTTGTAATATGTCATGGCGGCAGGGAGGGGCGAAAGCTAAAGGTCAGGCAAAAGCCCCTTTGCACATGTGCAAATAGAATGCTTGGGAGCATTGAATGAAATGTCAGGAGTGAAACGGAAGTGCGGATTGCGTGAAGGGATCTCTTTAGCTGCTTTCCACCTAATTCTGCTTAATTTCTTTGTATATTTCAATAAAGCATCTCAATGGCTTTCTGGAAATACAGATAGGTTTTTCTGGATCAAAATTTGCTTTTCTTTAGTAAGCAAACTGTAATTGATAATTGCACAGTGTTAGTAATTTTGCAGAATTACCGTAAAAATAAATGAAATCCAAAACTTTTTAAACTGATTTGATCTTCCAAATGTATTTTTATATATGTGCTAGAAAAATAATTTAGAATGTGAACTTGAAAGAACTCTTGAATGTAGTTTTTATTTTATTTAATTCTAATTTGCATTTGAAAAGTCTGCATCTGTGCACTTATTTATTTAAACGTGTATGAAAACACTTCAGTATTATCAAGAGGGTGTGATATACGACATGAGGTTTCAAAATAAGAATTGCACTATTTCACAGATAAATTTTAATTCCGAAAAGGCTTGAATAAAGTGTTTAGCAAGCTTGAACAGTGTGTAAGTAGCAGCCTCTTATACAAAATAGGACATGGAAATTTGTTCTGTTACGTCAAAGAAGAAATGAAATACTTTACTC